AAGGCGAACAGTCGCTTGCACAACTGTCAAGCAATACGTGGCACCACTAACAGCGGCAATAGTTCAATCGGAGACAGGGTAAGCAGAAAGCAAGCATTATGTCCGATCCCCCGCCCGTTCATCAAGCCAAGATGGACAAGGCCCCACCTCCGGGATGATCACGGAGTCGTTGTCCAACCTCCGTCGGAGGCAGGAGCGGCGCGGGCTTTTTTACCGACCAAGACTGGCTTCTGATCCGAAGACATCGTCTTTGGAAGAAATCCGCAAGGGTTAAGGTTGAGGGTGAACCCATGCCCCAGCAACCTCGCGCATCCATCGCAGAGCTTTGCGAGAATAGTCTTTCAAGCCTGCCTGATTATGGTAAATTCCGAAGAAGCCGCTAGTAAGTCCAGGTCTAAAGTGGATGTTCGGGTTTGTGAGCAGCTTCCTCCAAGACTTACCCCAGCTAGGCCTGAGCAGCGCAGCACAGGCAAGACCTTGGGAGGTCGTGGTTGTGACTCTGCGGAGATTTTCTCACCCTTTGGGATAGGATGCTGCCTCTTTGGTTGCTGGTAATGACCCCGACGAGCAGAATTTAGAAGGGACGATGGGGATGCTGCTTCTGTCTACACGAGGGGACGACTCCGGCTGAGAGTTTCCAGCTCCCTAAGAAAGGACAGGACGAAATTCTGCACAGCATGCTACAAAAAGGCACAGACTTAAGACGCTTGCCGACATGCCGATACTAAAAGAACAAAACCTGCAGAAGGAGCGAGCTATGTGGATCTCAAAAAAGCTTGACGGCAAAAAACCTGACATGCATGAACGCAGCCTTCAAGCAAGAGCTACCCCTCGCTACCTCGGGCACGGGCTGTTCTCATCCGCAGCCTCTCCCTCCGCCTTCGTCGCAGCTGCAGTAATCTGCTGTCGCAGCCTTGGAGGAGCTTTCCCAAAAGGCATTACAACCAACTTCCCAAAACTAGAACCAGGTGTTCCAAATCGGTATTCCAAGTGAGGCGACTCCTCTTCCATGAAGATTGTTGAAATGGCGTGGGAATGCAAGACCCATGGGGCTTTGTTCCGACCTCTGCCACGCAAAGTACATGTCACTTCCCGTCCAGAAGGATGCAGCTGACATTCTCACTCACCGCTTCAATCCGAATTGGATATCAGCATCGAAGCTCCTATGGCCTACGGTGGGACCCGGTGCCGGCAGTGTGGCCAGGCCAGTTCCGCAGCTTCTGAGAAGCTTGCGTGGAGCACTCGGCCCCGAAGAGATCGAGCTGCCTCGCAAAGACGGAAGAGAAACACGAGAAGTGAGTGATGCAAAGCGAGCCTTGACGGCACAGTATCGAGTGGGAAAGAAGACGAGGGGAAAGAAACGATAACCTTCTCCTGACAAAACATGAGCATCTTGCACCCAAAATGCCTCTTAGACGAGGCCGCGGTCTGCAAGAACCACAGCTTCTGCTTGCTTTAGCAGGGAGGGGGAACGCATACAATAATACTGACATTCATCACTATGACTCTCCTTACCTGGCAATGCGCACATGAGGGTATCTCTGCAGAGATATACACATCGACCGATGTATCGCGAGACTGTGTATATATATATATATATACACACACACAAAACTAATTAATAAACCAATATCTGTCTACATAGAGGCTTAAATGTATGTATTATGTATACGTACACACACACCTGCTAGGTGTAAATACATTGCAATCTTAAGTGGATATGACTCTGTGTTTTGACAACTTATAGGTACGTACAACCTTAGAATACTCCGACCGTCGACCCTTTCTCCGGCTGCCGCCCTGGGCCTCTTCACAGCATCCATGAGCTCGCTGCGATAGGCTTCGCGGTTGTCCTACGCGAGAGCTCTCAGCTTCACATGCCTTACTATCTCGACCCTCAAACCCTCATAGCGAAGGAATTTAGGCTGCGTATCAAAGACAACACAGCAACAATTTGCAGCATGGTCATAGGAAATCGCAGCCTTCGTTATAGGGTGGCGGTGGCGGCGGCGGTGGCGGTCTCGGTTTCGGGGGCGGAGCTGTGATTGTTGTTGCTGCTGCTGTTGTGTCGTCGATTTCGTCGTCGTGGTCATGGACGTTGTCGTTGTGGTTGTTGCTGTTGCCGTCGTCGTCGTCTTTCACCGTCGCCATCGTGGTCTCTGTCGTCGGCGTCGTGGTGATCATCGTCGTCGGAGTAGCAGTAGTAGCAGTAGTAGCAGCAGCAGCAGCAGCAGTGGTAGCAGTAGCAGCTGCAGCAGCAGCAGCAGCAGGACCAGGCGCAGGGGCAGGGGCAGGAGCAGCAGTAGCAGTAATGGCAGTAGTCGTCGTCGTGTGGTGGTGTACCGGCAGTGGCAGTGGAAGAAGTGTCTTATCCTGGCCGTGCTGGCGGCGGTGCCCCCATGTTAGGAGGCTCCTCGTCCGGCCAATCTTCTGCAACATGTGCGCAGTAGCAGCGGCTGTCCGGCCCCTGGCGAGATGGGGTGCAGGAACTCGGAATGTTTGGGGCAGAGGAGTTATGGCCTGATACTTGGATTCCTGGACGCTGTTGGAGTGCTTATACCGAGGACTTCGGCGTCAGTCTGTCTTCTGGTGATACTCGTGTGCGCAATGCTTTGCCTGCTGCACGACTACGCCGCCTAGGTCGGTGGATCTCAGTTGTAAGTGAAGATACCGAGGCTCAACGGACCTGCACTGTTGTAGACCGGTCAGCTACACACAGCTTGCTGCAAAAGAACCTTGGACCGTCAATGTCTGGTTATTAAGCTCGTGGTGCAGACGCACGAGCCTTGGTGGCATTCAGAAGATACTTCGCCTGCAAAGAGGGTAGTGAGGGGTTGGAAAACCCGCCGCCGAAAGCTCTGCGACGCCTGGACCAATTGCAGCACCGCATTCCGTACCGCGAGGGAAACCGAAACTCAGCCTTTATCCCTTTGGGTACTGTGACGGTGCAGCATGTACCGAAGCTTACTGAAGCAACACAAGATCACACAGGACAAATTTCAGATTGACACCAACTCAGCTTGTCTTTGTGATCAGTGCGGAGCAATGCCGGTGGTGCGGCTTGTGATGAGATGATGCCAGGGCGACCGTAATCATGATTCAGATTCTGCGTGCAGCCGCTACTGCCGATGATGATGTAGTGGAAATAACGATGACGAGGTGACTGGTGCTCAGTTTGTCAGAAGCGTTGCTCTCTACTCCTCTTCTGGGATTCTCTTCGCAAAAATACTGCTGCTGTCCGAGGTCTCGACCAGGATCTTCATGTCTCCTTGGAGGGGATCCGTCGTCAGCCTGGAACAGATGGGGTCGGGAATGGCAGCTCAAGTCCAACGATGCGTAGAGTCAGAGTCAACACGAACATGGACACAGCATGCTAGACCGATTGGACGATTGATCCGCAATGGCGCAGCTTCGCCAAGCCCCCGGCATCTGTATGAGGACCTTTGCCAACCGTTGGAGCAGGTGATTCCGCACCCTCAGCACGCGAGATCTGGAGTTGAGGCCTCCCGTTTTAGGTAGTCCACAGACCACTGGTTTCAGTCTTTCACCTAAACAGCCACGGATACAAAACAGCTTGAGCGTCTCGGAGACTACGACACAGTCTAGGGGGGTCAGGGGTTTAGGGGTTTAGGAGTCTGCTTTGCTTCTACACCGCTATCCGCCCCAATGATTTCAATGCCTTAATACTATAGTAACTATTGCACTACTACTGCAACGCGTTGATGGTTGAGGGACCTTGACCTTTCTAGTCCGGGGATCACACATCCGACCCTCCTTGGCGGCTGTGAGCACCATTCGAGGATTGAAGAAGAGGCCTCAGCCAGGGAGAAGAAAGTGGCTCTATTCACTAGCATTGGGTTCCTTTCAATGCAAAGGATTCCGGTAAAGGGTTTCTATCTTTGGATTCCTTTAAATTTAAAGGCTTCCCACACAGAGGTTGTATGAGAATTCCGCTAATGGGGTTCCACGAGGGTTCCGTTAAAGGGCTCCTGTGAGGGTTCCGTTAGAGGTTGCTATGAGGTTTAGTATAGGGGCCGTAACTATCTAAAGTCTGTGGAGGCTTCAAGGGGAATACTCCTGCTAAGTATTCCGACAGCTGTGGTGCTCCTCGAAGGTAAACAGGAATGGGGCAGACAATGTGGAGTAGTCAGATCATCAGACGAAAGAGATTCCATCAAAATACCTACACCTCACGCACGGAGTCTTCAACATGCGGGAGCTTGCTTCAACTAAGTTTGGATAACCTGCCCAACTTGACATGAGTATTAGCCAGCGAAGACCAGGGCAGACTGCACAATCGATTCATCATGTACGGCATCATACTGAAGCAAGCCAGGATGCTCTCATGAAGGCGAAGAACGCGCTGGAGGGCCTGGTCGCAGCACACAACTGAGCGAATTCTGGTTGTGCTGCCTCTAGGAACACCACCAAGCGAGTGCTGACAAAGCGACAGCCTGAGAAGTCTAATTTTCGGCTGAAACTGTCAGCGGTCTGTTCGTCACCAGGCAGTACATGCAGCTCTACAGTGCTCTACGTAGGCTATTCTCGCTCCTCAGGCAAAGCTGTTGTACACCCGATCACTGCCCCAATACAGGGCAGCTAAAACTGGTTGCCTCGATGCTGTTCGCGGACTCGAGGAGCTGAACAAGCTGCATGGGCTCCTCCTGAAGGGCTTTTTGACGGACTGGAAGCGGCTTCGGAAAGAAGAGTTTGGGCTGCGACTTCTGGTACCTGTGAGTGGCTCTTCCGGTATACATATGTGTGTGTGTCTATATATATATATATATATATACATAGTTATTAGTCATTAGGGTGGTCGTGAACTGAAGTGTTCATCGGATGTCGTGGCACCACCCACGGATGGGGCTGTCCATGAAACTCATAAAGGCAGTCGCTTGTTTCTGAGGCAGCATGTGCGAAAAAGCGTTCCTTCTCGAAGCACAGTCACCCAGCAACCGAAACTGCAAAAAAGTCCGCTCGAAAGTTATGAACCAATCCCCTTAACCCGGACCAGCAAAAAGCTGCGCCATGTCTGCACTCTTGCGCGCCTCTGCCAGCTCGATCAACTCGTCTGCCGTCCACCTGCACAAACTCAAACTCCTCAGCTCCTAGGGCTACTACTAGTACGACGAAGGCGGGGACTACAACTACAACTACAACTACTACTACTACTACTACTACTACTACTACTACTACTACTACTACTACTGCTACTGCTACTGCTACTGCTACTGCTACTACTGCTACTCTACTTGGTGACATGAGTTCTTAGGGCCCTTCATGTGTCTTGCCCCGTAGCAGTACTTGTACCAGTGTTAGTAGATGGGCGGATAGCTATTCTCAGCACCTTTGCTGCAAACAACCCCAGTGGCCTGTCTAAAGCTATGACCTCTGCAGAATCAGCCGCCATAAAGGTTTAAACCCTCGTCCTCTAACAGAAGGAGGGCCCCGTGACTAGTGTCCGTGGAGGGCTGAACTGCGTATGCAGTGCAGGAACTGGAACTACAAAGAGGCCAGCATCCGGAATTCCAATGCTTGTGCTCCGAAAGCTGGAGGACTGAACAGAAGCTTTAAGGCGTACACCGGGCAACACGCATGATCTTGATGCTGGTTGCAGAAACAACGGACAGAGGCGAAAGAATCCACATACTGAACGACGGAAAGTACCCTGTGACCTCGATGCCTTATGGCTTATGTCCTCTGAGTTCATCAAAACTGAATCCTACAAGTTCCCGGATTTAACTCCCGCCTTAAAGCAGAGCCCCCTAAACGTTGTTGATCTACCACTATCGGTATTTGTTGCTGAGTAAGTTGTTCCGTTTTTGTATTGATTGCTCTCCGCCCGCCTCGGCCGGAGCATCCTGGGATCAACTTGCGGATTTTTCACATCGGCTTTGAGGGCTGGAAGAGTGCCGAGTTTGGGAAAGCAAACGCTGCGACAGGCTAAGAAATCAGCCAAAGCCTGAACCCCAAAAGCCCAAGCTCAACCCGAAATCCTTAGGCCCTAGCTCTGAAACCCAAGCCCAAGGAGCTAAAGCCCTAAACCCTATATATTATTTAGTATATACTTAGGCCTTTAAATACCTATATAGGAACCCAGTCAAGGCCTAAGTATGTATATATATATATATATATATATATATATATGAATGAATGATGTGGATATATATATATATATATATATCCTGCACTCCCCAGCCAAGCGTCTCCATTAGCTCGTGGAGCGGATCCACGGCCGTCTTTGCCTTTGGCGATGCCGGAGGCTTTTGCGCCGGAGGCACCTCACCTTTGCATCCGCGGGCGGTTTAGCGTAGAGGATAGGTTAAGGCTACCTCAGGACCTTAGGTACCTTTCTGTAGCGCCAAGGCTGCTACGGGTTTAGGGTTCACGGCCCTAGTATGCTTGCCAATAAACTGTATTAGCACGTTGCTTCCAGCAGGTTTCTCTCTCCTGTGGTGACAGCAGCTTCTGAGTGACATCATGATACTGTCGCGATGCCAGTACGAAAGCCGTGGCATTCCATGCTGTCTCGGACGGGCGCAGAATAGACTAGACTGGCGCCGTGCAGCCTGAGAGCGTTCAAACACCTTCCGTGTCGATCTTATAGCTTCACATTTTGCAGATCCACCTCTCGTGCAGACACTGTGCTTGGGTCCAAGCTAGGTCTTTCCCTACCTGCGCTCTCGCCGACCAGCATCCAGGGGCTAAATCCTGGCAAGCAGACCGCTCGGGGCGTATTGAAGATAGGAGCCCCTTATTCAAAGGAAACTGCTTGGGAGCACTGATGAACAAATTGAGAGAGCAGCAAAGCAAAGAAGCTGCATGAGACTAGCTACGGCTCTGAGACTGTAAGAATAGGATCCAAAAATCAAGAATACTTTCCAGACCAACGAGACTGAAGCGGCGGAAGAGAATCCGAGACGGACAGAACGAACACACATGTTCAACATACCCACCGAATCATGAAGATTCAAACGAAGGATGGTGAATGACAACGGGAACCATGAGACTATTCGTGATAGTAAAGCTATCACTGCACAAGTTCATGACAGCAGAAGGGTTGACGACATTCATAATGCCAACGCTAATCACACAGGATCGTGCGTCGTGCGAATAACCGTATGCACAGTCATATGCGAATAGCCGTAAGACCTGTACTGTACAGTGCTGCCAGTGTAAACAAGACCAAGAACATGAACAAGGACAGGCACACGGCCTTGATAATCATCCAGATGGCATCCTTCTTGACATGATCACGGGGACGACACGACCAGTTTTGGTGGCATGATGACAAAAAAAACGCAAGGCGGCCATGTTGTCATGACGATGTGACAAAGGAACGTGCGAGGTGCTGGCAGTTCCTCTATGGCTCTCTTACACGCAGGCTTCTGTTCGCTAGTACAAACAGCGGAGGTCTGAGAGCTGTAGCGGTCGTCGTAATGACAGCAGCAGCAGTCACGCACTCCGGCTACTGCAGTAACGGTAGCAGTAGCAGTAGCTTTTGGCGGTAGCGGTAGCAGTGATCAGTGGCACTAGTCGCAGTGGTCGCAGCAGCAGTGGTAGTCGTCGTCATAGTGGTAGTAGTAGTAGTAGTAGTAGTAGTAGTAGTAGTAGTAGTAGTAGTAGTAGTAGTAGTAGTAGTAGTGGTAGTAGTGGTAGTAGTTGTTGTTGTAGTAGCAGTAGCAGTAGCGGGAGCGGGAGCAGGAGCAGTAGAAGCAACCAGCTGCCTGAACTCATGGGCGGAGATGGGGGTGCGTAGACTTTGCACGAGATGCAACAAGTGGAGCTGGGGTGTGATGGTGCTGTCGGTGCTGGTTGCTTCTGCGATTCTGTAACACAACAAAGAGAGGATGGATCTAATTCAGCACATATGGCCGGAACGTTTCGTTTCATCTCGAAAAACAGCACTTCATCGTCAAAAGGCGACGGAAAGACGAGGCACCCTGTTACTGGCATGGCGAAACGGCACAATAACGCAAGAGCGAATGAACAGAGTGGCCTGACATCCTCAGGCATCATAGGTCATAGGCTAATTGTCAGCAGCATGCCTGCATGGTCCAGCGCATGAAGCCTCAATCGTAGTCGGAGGTCACTTTCGACTGGACAACTAACATGTTCGCACTCACCAACACCATAACTACGACTAACCTGATGATCAGTTGGTAGGACAGCTCTCATGTGAACACTACACTCTCATCGAAGAGTTGAGGTTTGTCCCTTGCTCGGGTCCAACCCCATGCCCGAGCAGAACATGAAACACCAAGGCTTGAAAGAGATAGGCTTCGAAGATATCAGATATACATAGATAGATAGATAGACAGATAGGTAGATATAGGTCGGTAAGGAAAGGAAAGATACTGATAGGTAGATAAGTGAAGACAGGTATGGATAGATAGGTGATGGCAGAAAGATAATGATAGATAGGTAGGTCGATAGAAAGATACGTAGATAGATAGAAAGAGGGATAGATAGTTACTTAGCTAGATAGATACATAGATTCATAGATAGGTAGACAGATGGACACATAGATACATACATGTATGTAGACCGATCGGTTAACAGAAAGACAGCCCGTGCATGTGTGTGGATAGTGCCTATCCTTCTGTCTGTCATCATCCATCCGTCCACCCATTCATCCATCCCTCCATCCATCCGTCCAGCTATCCATCCATCAATCCAGCCCCATCGGCAGGCAGGCAGGCAGGCAGACATGCATGCACATGTGCATACATACCTACGTACTTATATAAGTACAAGAACACACAAAGACACGCATACGGACATCCATACTTGCATGCCTGACACCTGCATATATACAAGATAGTATAGTATAGTGCAGTATAGGTATGGTAGAGTAAGGTAGAGTATAGTATAGTAAAGTATGATATAGCATACTTCTACACGCATACATATATATATATATGTACATATATAAGACGATTCTATCTACACGCACATACATATACATACCTATATGCAGCGCTGCACCATATATTCCTTCATTCGTGCATTCATACATCCATACGCACATACATGCATGCATAAATTTAAATGCATACAGACATACAGGCATGCATACATACATACGTACGTATGCACAATTATGCACATATCTACATAGACACTTACATATGTATATGCGTACATGCACATATGCACGCACACATACGTCCTTAACATGTGTGTATATGTATATGCTTACTCCGAATGTATACACCTACACACCTAACCAGACTAACGCGCACTTGCGAGCAGCTTAAGTTGGATACAAAGCTTGACCTTTGGATGGCCCGAGTGGCTCTGCTCCCGCTTGGATCAGCGCCCGCGCCGTCTGCGGCTGCAACTGCGCAGTGGGCGGGGGCAAACCAAGACGCCGGGACGCCACTCAATGTTAGCCACGGTAGCGAAAATCCGGCAGCAGCAGCAGCAGCGAGATCTCTAACCCAACGACAATCATAAGAACGATCATCGCGTCAGAAATAACAAATGCCTCAGGCAAAGACATGACATTCACAGTATACATCTTCTGCTTCGCGAGAGAGACGACTTCGCAACAGACTTCCCAACAGCCGAGGGTGAAACGGTCAACACAAACTCTCTAGTTCTCACTCGCTAACCGCCGGAACATCTGATGGAAGCCCAGAGTAGCTTCCTCAGCCAGACAGTGAGAGGTAGTTGGCTGGAAACAGGGCAAGGATGGGCTAAGTTTCAAGAGGTCTGGGTCCCTTCAGGCCTGACAGGCCGCATGATGCAGCGGCGTTGCGCCGGAGGAGTCACGCTGGTGGGGGCTTGCGCCTCGCAACACAAATCCGGGCTCAAGGACTGTAGGACTCGGAATTGCGGGGCTGGGGGTGGCATGATCAGATCATGATCTGAGCTCAGAGACTCTCGATCAGTGGTGTACCGTAGGGACGAAGTGCTGGTGACAACATCCATGAGAGTGAAGCAGGCATCCCATCTGTGACGAACCGATGTCTCGGTAGGCAGAAGCCCTAATGCCCGAATTATCCCCCAGCCATCCTCAGCCCCATACGACCCTGAACCCTCTCCTCGGGACCCTGAACACAAAGACCAGCCACCTACTAAACTCCGATAAGCTAAAAGGCTTTGAAGCCTAGGGCTTAGTAGACGAATACACCACCCCCTCCACTAAACAAAACACTAAACTAAGGCCGCTGCGCCCGGCCAGCAGGCTCTTGGTCACGTCCACACGGCCTGTCGGGCGCTTAGAGTAGGGCAGAGGCTTTGGGTTCATGGCCAGTTGGCAGGTTTAGTGTTCTCAGAGTTGCAGGGGCTCAGGGCTTAGGGTTAAGAAGACTCAAGTTTGGAATTTCGATGCAATCAGTACAGCCGTCCCTTCAGTGGTGCATTCGTTTTTCTATCTGTCAATAGCTCCCCAGAGGCTTTGCAGTATCCGTGTCTCCCTTGTCCGTTCCCGAAGCTTCCAGACGTCTGTCTGCCCAGACATGAGCGAGATCGAATCCCAGCTCGGGACTCAATGCCAGACAACATTCGCAGCCAGTTCCGTCTGGCGTGTCCTAACGGCGCTGCTCTCTGCTGGCCGTGAAACACCGGCACATTGCTTCTCTCAAAGCCTTGCGAAGCAGAAGTCCTCAAGTCTCTCGGAAGTCGTGAACGACTTGCAGAGAAGACGAGCCTCCTCTATTTACGCTTGTTGTGATTGTGTTAACAGTAACATATTTCTGTCCGAAAAAACCCAACTCCAAATCCGAAACCCGATGAAAACCATGTGTTATTCCATTTTAGCTGCAAGTCTCAACTCTGCCTTCGATGACCATCTGCACCAGGGCCGTGCGCCCTTCTAAACCCGGCCTCGAGTTCTGCGGTGACGGTGCTCGGGTGTGTAAGTGCCGTTGCTCTCGCAGTGCAGGCAATTAACCAGCATATTGCTTTGCGGGGAGGTGGCTGTGGCGCAAGTATGACAGCCGGCAGTTGCTGTTTCTGTTGCAGTTGATGGTGGTGTTGTTGTTGCTGTTGCTGTTGCTGTAGCTGTTGCTTTTGCTGTTGCTGGTACTGCTGCTGCCGCTGGTGCTGTTGCCGTTGTTACTGTTGTTGCTGTTGTTGCTGTTGTTGTCCTCGTCACCAGGACAATAAGAACACTACTAAGCGTCACAGTCAGAATACCAACAACAGCTTGTGCATCACGGGCATTGTTGCTTCTTGTCTGCCATCCGAACCCCTTCCCACCGGAACTTCTACAGTTTAAGGCGCGGCATGCAACAGCGTCCCGCTAGGTGGCCAGCGAATTGGGGTCTGCCCGCTCCCCGACGCGGATGAAGCCATCGTCATACTTTCCTGCCAAGGGCAATTCTTTTGAGCTTCAGAGTTGATTTAAGGCTTATTGCCCTCCCGCACTCGAAGCCATGAATCTGCACGTGCACGATATACTGCTGCGATGGCCCTTGCTGCAAACATCTTTGCTAGCCCCAGCTCACAAAAACCCCTGCAGAGAGGCCTCTTACCACGGCACCCTCGGCAGTTGTTCGATTCTCGGAAT